GTGTATAAATGTAAAGTCAATCGGATATTAACTTTAGCCTCTAGAGTGTCTATATAAGATTTTTAAAAGTGATCAAGGGCCATAACTCTGACAGTAAATATCGGAAATCGCTGAAAATCAATAGGCTTCTTCAACTCATGACCTTAAACACTGTGTATAAATGTAAAGTTAATCGGATATTAACTTTGGCCTTTAGAGCGTCCACAAGATTTTTCAAAGTGATCAAGGGCCATAACTCTGGCAGTAATTATCGGAAATCACTGAAAATCAATAGGCTTCTTCGTCTCATGACCTTAAACACTGTGTATAAATTCAAAGTCAATTGGATATTAACTTTAGCCTCTAGAGCGTCCACCAGATTTTTTGAAGTGATCAAGGGCCATAACCCTGGCAGTATTTATCAGAAATCGTTGAAAATCAATAGGCTTCTTCGTCTCATGACCTTAAAGGTCACCGGAAAAGGTTCATAAATTTTTTAAATAATGCAAGTAATTATGTCAATATATCCTTTCCATAAGTAAAACACGAACCCGAATGTCAATATTACCTGCAACAGGTAAATTTCAACGTTAGCAAATTCCGCCATTCTCCGTGGGTATTCGTAACTTTCCGTAAATTTGACGTCATTTTAGTCCTTCTGCTCATATTCTAGTCTATATTTCTATGTGCAGAAAGACTAAAATGACGTCACGGATTGCTTATTGACGGAAAGTTCCGACTACCGACGGAGAACGGCGGAAATTACTAATGTTGAAATTTACCTGTTGCAGGTATTATTGACGTTCGGGCTCGGGTTATACTTATGGAAAGGATATGTTGACATAATTACTTGCATTATTTAAAAAAAAAATTGATGCTTTTCCGGTGACCTTTAAACACTGTGTCAATCGGATATTAACTTTAGCACCTAGAGTGTCTACAAGATTTTTTGAAGTGATCAACGGCCATAACTCTGGCAGTAATTATCGAAAATCGCTGAAAATCAATAGGCTTCTTCGTCTCATGACCTTAAACACTGTGTATAAATTTAAAGACAATTGGATATTAACTTTAGCCTTTAGCTTGGGGACGCCGGACCGATGGACAGACGGACTGAGTGACCGACAACAATATACGACCACATTTCAATCCATGAAGTTACTATCCGATACATGACAATATTGACAAGAGCCGAGATCTTCTTTGATTGGCATTTAGTAATTGAACATATTAACACATATTCTACGGAAAGCCGGTAACTGTCTTGTCAAAGAACGAATTCAGCACTTTAGAAATGAGAAACTAAAACTGTTAAAATTAATCAGTGAACAACATGGAGAACTTGAATCCTTACTGTCCCCTGAAGATTATAAATCAAAGCTAACTCCGTACTAGATGACCAAGTGAAAACCAGGCACATTAAAAAATACAATAATTTGAAATCAAAACAACAACCTACACTCACCAAAAGCAACAAGTCTGCTTCTGATGAGTACCTCACAAAGACAGCTGTTAACCTAAGTTCAACTAATCTCACCGATGACCAAATCACTCTATTATCCAAAGGCCTAAAATTCATCCCTGTATCTAGACTGAAGAATCATGACGATTACATCACAAATATAGAAAAGGGGTTACGTCAACTAGCACCAGGTGGCAAGGTGGATTATCTCAGGCATCAAATCTCGAATAAACTTTTGAAAACCACACCTCAAACCAATAACCTATCCAAATCCCAGCAGCTAGCACTAAAAGAATTGAAAGCAGACTCCAATATCACCATCATTCCTGCTGACAAAGGTAAAGCTACTGTGATTATGGACACCAGTGACGATGTGGATACTGTGAACAACCTACTTCAAGACACCAAAACCTACCAAAGAATCAGGAAAGATCCCACAGCCACCCATGAAACCAAGCTGCGAAAATTTCTCATATCATTGAAAGACAAAAAGCAGATCACACCAGCACTTTACTATAATCTGAATCCCTCTCACCCCAGACCACCATATGCACGAGCCACCATCAAGGTTCACAAGAACCCGGTTAAGGCTCGCTTATTGGTTTGTTCCCGAGATTCAGTGTATTACAATACAGAAAAATTCTTAACCCGTCTTTTGGCACTACTTGGAAAATCAGCAGAGTCCTTCATTGCCGACTCCAGCGACTTTTGCCATAAACTGGCATCCGTCCCATTAACCGGCACCATTCTTTCCTATGATGTAGTAGACCTGTTCACTAATATCCCCACAGCTCAGACACTCCTAATAATTAAAAAGAAAATCAATGAATTAGAGACCCCACTGGACACCAACCTAACCACTGATAATATCATTCAACTTTTACGTCACTGTATAACTGCCACATCACTTAGATGGGGTGATGAATATTATCAACTAACACATGGCCTGCCTATGGGTAACCCACTTTCACCACTACTGTCTGAAGTATTCATGACCAGGTTTGAAACTGATGCATTACAGACTTTCCCCATCCCCTTTCTTGGTATCGTAAAGTCGATGATGTATTTGTGGTCCTCTCCCATTTCTTGATGTCTTAGTGACTAAATCTGACAACAAATTCTCCACTGCTGTTTATAGGAAACCAACTCACACTGATCAATACATTCACTACAATTCAAATCATTCACATCAAATAAAAAAATCTATCATCACCACTCTAACCAGACGCGCCACCAAGATATGTGATGAAGAAAGTTTACCTGAGGAATTAGAGCATTTAAGGAACGTCTTTATAAATTTTAACAATTACCCCACCCAACTAGTCAATGACGTTATTTCCACCACCATAGAGAACGAACACAAGCCAAGAACGCCATATACTGACCATTCCGGAATCAGAATAACCATCCCGTTTCACAACAAAATCTCTTACCAGATCAAAAGGTTGATGAAACAAGAAGTGGGCATAGACGTTACCTTCTCTAGTGGCAGAACCATACCGAATTTACTGCAAGCTAATGGTAGATCAACACAAACCAACCCCCCACAGCCCAAAGGATGTATCTAATAGATAACATGCTCCTGCTGCGAAAAGTATGTAGGGGAAACGAAGCGCCCACTTGATGTACGAATAAAAGAGCACAAGTCACTAGCTTCCACCAATCCCTCAGCCGTGGCAGAGCACATTATTAACAACGAACATCATACAATCCTGTGGGACCAAACAAGAACCCTTGCAGTACATCATTACCAGAAGAAAACCAGGAAACTTCTTGAGGCCATCAATATAAAACGCATCAAGCCCAAGTTAAACCGTGATGTCGGACTATTTATACCAAGGGCTTATGACCAACTTATACATTGATTCTAATACTTTATTTCTATTTCAGCGCTTATCAGGTTTTCACAGTCTAATTACACATCATACATATCTTGACTTTCAGCACTTACCCAACTTTACAGTCTGAGGATATATTTCCCATTTATTGGGTTCAGTTTATTAGAGGAATATATTTACTGTGTCCCTCGTCCAGATTTAAGTGTAATAATACCTTTTCTAGCTTTCAGAATTAACACAATCCAGTGCTTATTCAGTTTCACAGTCTAGTTATAAACTTTACATATCTTGGTTTGCAGTACTTACCCAGTTTTACAGTGAAAAAATACAGTTCACAATAATTATTATTGACCTTTAATACATAGAAATATTTACGGTTTCTTTCTTCCAGGTTTATACTCTAATAATAGGTTTTATCCCTCAGGACTTCCAGTTGATTGGTCCCCATACTATTGTCTCTTTTTCAGTGCTTATCCAGTTTTTCATAGTCTAATTATACATTCTACATATCTTCGTTTTCAGTACTTAACCAGTTTTTTTATAGCCTGGAGATATGTTTCACTATCCTTTATTTTCAGTTTATTGAAACAATATAATTACGGTTTCCCCCGTCCATTTTTTACAGTCTAACAACAAGCTTTATATATCTTCCATGATTTTCTGCTCATTGAATTAATATAGGCCTACAATATTTATATTTTTATATTTAATTTTTAATTTATTATTATTTTTCTTTACACCTGCATCAGCGATCACTCTTGTTCACTTATACATACACACTTCTATTTATATTATTGTTTATCTATAGCTCAGGTTAATTGGTTTTCCATTAACGGTGTTAATTCACTGATCTTTATAAATATAGCATTCACCTCCTTTTAATCCCTGTAAGAGATTTCTGTTGTGTGTGTTTAGTTTCTAATGGCCCCCTAATCAAAGGTGTTAAGCTTAATTGCATTTGATTATTATCTTTGTTGCATATCCTGTATATATATTTGCCCACAATTCACATATTTGTATCATTTGCTTGATAAAGACGAGAGTATCCTCGTCGAAACGTCGCTTAGTATCAAACTCAGTCATTGTGTATCCATAAAATTGTACCTTGTGTTAAGAACCAAGATCTTTGGGAGATAAACCTATATTTCAAATTTCATCAAAATCAGATAAAAACTGTGACGGACAGGGGTGACGACAAAATACGTGCACATAAAAATGTGGGTGTATAAAAATCGCATGTCGTATAGAAACGTATGTATAAATGAAGTATTTCTAAAGATTTTCTCAAATATGTATAAATGAAGTATTTCTAAAGATTTTTCGGGCTAAACATCTAGTGCAGAAATAAGGAGTGAAAGCTTGTAATTTGCAATTTTATACAGAAAATTCTCATTCTGAATAAGCAAGTGTGAACTTCTTAAAATATGCCAGATACAGCCTTTTGACTCCCAAAAGACAATATTGTGTTAAAGGCTAAATTTTTATTAGATCTTTACGTGAAGCATACTTTGAAACTTATTTACTACCAGTATTATCATTCACTGCAGACTGTTTTAGTTCCAACTATGTAGCACAATAAAATTAGACAGTTCATGAAGTGTGACAACATTAAGATGTGATTATCGAGCAGCTTAGAAAGTGTTATGTACGGACAAATCAATTCTTTTGCCCAAGAGTTGAAAACAGTAAAATTTTGTTAACAAATTACAGGGCAAGATGTACATATTATTTTCCGTATTTTATTGTAAAGTCTGAAAGCAGCATTGAAATATACATTTCAATCAAACTTGCACTGCCCCATTAAAAAACCCAAACAAATATGGAAAGTTTTTATCACATTCACAGCTGTCTGTAATTTATCTTCATTTCATCCACATGACGATGTATGATCTTTACTAGTAGAACATGATGATGTATGATCTTTACTAGTAGAACATGATGATGTATGATCTTTACTAGTAGAACATGCTGATTTATGATCTTTACTAGTAGAACATGCTGATGTATGATCTTTACTAGTAGAAGATGCAAGGGGAGATAACATTTGTGAAACCACTTTGTCTTTCCACTGATCATCAGAAACATTTTTTGCCCACTCCGGTACATGAGAGACAGGTAGCTGGAAACCTGCCATTGCTGCTTTAATTTCAGCTGCATGTTCTGAAATATATTTTAGAAATAAAGATAATTAAATTCTTATAATTGTGTAAGTAATTAATGAAGGTAAACATTTTCAGTTCAGAAAATTTATCTGGCACAAAAGTTGTGTTCAATGGGTGATTGTATACAATTCAGTATATCATCTTAAACCATACTGTAGAAATCAAAACATGAAAGAAATGAGTATTTAATTTCCACTTAAAATAACTTGGTCATTTGTCTTGACACAGTGGAGTAACTCTTGACCGTGGAGCGCTGAAAATCGATAGGGTTTATCCCTCATGACACCAATACTGAAGCATCTATGAGCCAGTTGTTGATGGAGTGACAAACTGAAAAGTCTATAAAATACCCACCATCATCCATTATTATTGAATCAGAAGCTTTCTTGGTCTGATTCCATAGAAGATCTTTTTTATCAGCTCTTGGCAAATCTGGCACCTGAAAAAAAGATTGACTGCCAGTCAACGAATCATGTGCCCAAACCAGCTAAGTTGTCTGAGCTGTCCACAAAGGTTTGCTACATATTTGTTTTTTTTTGCTGTAGGAAATTGAAGAATTCATAAGATAGTTTGCCAAATAACAAAACCTACACCAACAGCAGTTAAGTCATCCAAAAGTTGATATTTAAACTTTTATAGGTAATGGGAGCATTTATAAGGCACTAATATAACTGATCAAGATTAAAAACACATTAATTAATTAACAGAAATAAGCTTATTAGACTCATTGAACAAAGATGCTGTATCAATTTCAAATCAATCAGAAAAAAAAACCAAGATTTTAAAAAGTGATCATGGGCAATGACGTGGAAAGTATTTCTTGGCTTCTTCATCTCTTAAATAAATGTATATATATAAAGCCACAAATATTTTCAAAGTGGTTATTCAAATATTTTCAAAGTGGTTAAGGGCAATGATTCTAGAACTAATTATTGGAAATTGCTAAAAATCAAGAGGCTTCTTTGTCTTTTGAACATAAACACTATAATCCTTAAAGTTGCAATTTCATATTTTTAAGTTATATTTTTAAAATGTATTAAAATAAAGCCTTAAAATAGATGGTATCTATAAACAGACCTACCTTGTTAAAGAATAATCCTATTAATCCTTTAATTCACTATTGCCAGTTGAGAAATTGGCAAAAATATCATTTTCAACTTCAAATTCAAACATTTGAAGATAGCTATTCCATGGGCGGAATAGAAAAACAAGGGAGGTAATTGTGTTATTATTTCCGGGGTCAAAGGATTTTTAAATGGGAGAATAATACCTATGATGGTATAATAGTGAGTTGACAACCTATTGAGCAAAAGACATAGAAATAATTATGTTTTGACTTAGAAAATATGAAATTATTGCTTTAAGTGGCATTTAGCTATTGAGCATAATAAAACACAATTTGAGGTTTATTAATCATTTTAATTTGGACCATATAAGCACAGGAAGAGTAAGTGTTGTTTAGTCTTGGGAAGCTGCGGTGACTCAGTGACTAAGATGTTGGCTTGCTAATCTGGAGGTCCTGTGTCCATCAGGATTTTCTGGCATGGTTTCCCCCTTGTCAGTGGTGCAGGATGGAGGGCCTGGCAAGGGACAACATATAGTCATTCAGATGACACGAAAAACTGAGGTACTGTGTACACATTATCGTGCACGTAAAATAACCCTTAACAGTTTGAATTTGAAATAAGTATAGGCCGTAGCACAATGATCCAGGCAAAATTTCTCTCATATCACACTGCATTGCATATGCTTGTCTTCATTAGAAAAGTAGGACAATAAACCCAATTTCATTTATTGTCTAATATGGTTAGAAATCCCAATACCAAAAATTTTGAAAATTTGCATTTCCATACAATAACAAAGGTTTTCAAAGCTTTTTTACCATCTCCTAAAAGTTGACAATTCACAAATGTTTCTCTTAGTGAATCATAATACAGCTGGTATTCATATTTGGCCAGAAGGTATAAAGCATTGCTTGTTATTCTCATTAGCAAGGAAGTCCTCCTTTCGGGAACACAACACCATGTTGTCTGTGAAAGTAATGTCACCTCCAACAGTACTTTTTCTTCTGCGATGAGTTTCATCTTTGGGAGAGAGAGAGAAATAGGGTTTAACGTCCACTCGACACAAACTAGGCCACTTCGGGACTAACATATGATTTAACTTTATTTCAACCATTCACTTGCGCGTAGGGGTCTTTAGCAGTGGGAGGAAACCGGAGGACCCGTAGAAAACACACAAGGTTGGACAGACGAGCCTACTTCTTGTCACATACAACCAGATAATCGAAACCACGGCAGTTGACTCAATGACAAACCTTATGATACAGCTCACACACGCTAACCATTTGGTCAGCCACCTCACCCCCCCCACCCCTGCATCTTTGGTTGATGGATCATAACCATCAGATACAATAGTGGCTGACCCAAACTTCATTGACACATAGATGGCATACAGCTGTATAATTGCAATGTATGTTGCACCCTGTGGCAAAGTTAGACGTTGTAAAAAAAAGCTCCACCATCAAGGACAAATTGTTTATCTGCATCTTGTGCAGGTGGCTCATAATCTGGTTTCTGCAGATGTCTTCATCTACCTTCACATCAGACTTTGTAGCAAGGATTGCTTATGTATGATAACAAAACCATTAATGATTCTTAACTTATTTATTTTCCCGATACTGATGAGAAAGTGCTTATACTTCCGCTACACAAAAACTATTGAACCAGTTTCTTTACATAGGTTGAAACCTTCAATTACTATTAGTCGCTATGTGAGTAATTGTACAGTTCCAGGTTATCAGATATAAGGCACATGTAAAGCTCAGTCGACAAAGTGCTCGACTGGTGTTGGCAACACTTTTGGTGCATAGGTCAGTGGTTTGATTCCCTTGGACACAGCACAAACTCAATTTTTTCTCTCTCTCTCTCTTTCTCTCTCTATATATATTATTATTACCAGATATTGATCAGTATTAAATCTAGTATTTTTACTTACGAATGTAGAACTATCATATCATATCAATATTTGAGGGTATCTTAGGTAAACGGTATGTCATTCTATGTATATCATTGACCTCTATTGATAGCTGATGGCTTTCGCTAACAGGTGAATTGTGCCATGTAGTACCACTGCGGACTGTAGCGTTACGCAGAAAGTAACGTATGATAAATCCAAATATTTTTTCCTCCCTTTTGGTCTTATTGAATCCTTGTAAATTTTGTTTGAGAATACTTCATTCTGTAGCAGACAGTAGCGCTACTGTATATTATACGCTATCCATAATGTCATATCATGTCACGTCTTGTCACGTCAACATTCAAGTTACACCATGAATTACTGAGTATAGTAGCATCCAATACTCTTAACAAAACCAAAGTTATACTTCAAGGCCAACCTTTTTGATATCAGTTGTTAGTAGACGTCAGGGTCATCATATGCAAAGTTCAAGGGTCATTGATAGGTGAGGTCAGTAAGTTCTTCAAAAGTCGAAAAAATTTCAAAGTGAAACCGGAAGTAAACAAATTGAAATTCAATCATCGGCTCCCCGAGAATTGTTGCCATTTGGAATAAGTTCAAAAGAAAAATTTTTTTTTGCGAAAATCAAAATCAAAATGGTGACTGAATATCGATTTGAAGGTTTATTGTAAAATCCAATATGGCGGCCAAACGGTTGTAAATGTTAATGAGCAAGGTCTCTGAAAATGAAAGATAATATCTGGGGGTAACACCACCATATGTCATTTTTAGTCTATTTTTAAAATGGAGAGAACTATTCATGTTCGGGAAAAATCGGAAGGCTTCTGTAATTTCCAGAAGCCGTCACAAAAAATTTTTATTATGCCATTTTGAAGGCATCGATGTGTTCCTTATTCTGACTAAAATCAGCAAAAAAAAATAATAAAAAACCTTTAAAAAAAAATGCCTTCGTTGAGCATTTCTAATCTAAATATAAATTTCCGTCAAAATAATTTCATGAGCGGCTTCCAGTGTAGATACTTCAACAAGTAGTACTACTTCAATGATTAGTTATGATGACTCGTTACACAGGGAAATGTATCTATCTATATATTATTTGTGTATTTTTTACCTGAAGATATGAAGGTGCTGTTCCGTCTGGATACTGTGATAAATGTGGTTGTTGACTGTCAGCAGGTTCACTTGTTCTCCAGGTCTGTTCATTTTCTGTTTCTTCATCATTTGATAAACTATAGTCAAGCCCTACTGTAGCATCATTTGGATCTTGTGGTAGCAACTGATAACTTCCCAAGTCTTCCCCACCATCATCATCATCATCACTATCAGAGGTTCCATGGGGTAGTATGACCTCTGGAAATTCCATATTTTCAACTGTATCTATATCATCATGAGTAGGATCCTTAATATCATCTTCTGGTACAGGTGACATGGTTGATTAATTCACTGACTTCGAACCCTGCAAACAATTGTTCATCATATTACCACAAATACTGCTTGCTTGTATTGGTTCACTTGACACTAAACGATAAATATTTACCCTAACCAAGGGTATTAGGGTAATATTTGTCTTACATCAATGTTAAATCTACCCTAATTGATTTCGCCTATAAGACAATGGTTTAGCCAATATCGGCAGTGCGACTGATATGACAAAATTAAAAAAACAAGTCATAAGTTGCACGTGCATTACATTTTAGTAACCACGTGTTCACAAACTGGCATTCATTTTGTGCAATGTTGTGAAATGATTCTTATGACGAACTGATCCGAGCAAGTCAGTTTGTAGAAAATATGGTTGAAAAAGCCAACTATGAGACTGATGTCCCCCGCCGAAATCCCAAAATAAATAGATGACACATATTAATTAATAGCACATTTTTTTTTTTCAAAAGTATCAAGCAATCAAACTGATTATCAACTATACACTAAGTTTCATCACTCTCTATCAGATAGAATCAAGGTTATCTTGTTCCAAAGCATCGACCAATGAAATTGCTTAACTCTGTTTAGCTTTAGCTCGAAATGCTAATCGTTGAGCTCAGTCAAGACATTCACCTAATCAACATCTACATCAAGTTTAAACATTCTACCTCAATTAAAAGCAATGTTGTTATGTTCTAAAGTCTTGCCCAATCAAATTGCTTATCGATCCTAAGCCTAAGCAGAAAAGTATCATCATCAAACTTAGTCAAGGTAATGATAGAATGAATCTATACTCAGAGCTTCATCACTCTCGCTTAATTAAAACCAAAGTTATTGGCCCCAAAGCATCAACCAATCAGATTGCTTATCTCTGCTTACCGTAAGCAGACAATGTTTATCATCAAACTCCATCAAGGCATTCACCTAATGAACACCTACACCAAGTTTGAACATTCTACCTCAGCTAGAAGGAGAATTATTGTGTTTCAAAGTCTCAACCAATCAAATTGCTTATCACTCTGCTTATCCTAAGTGTCATCACTCTCACTTAATTAGAACTAAAGTTATCGTGTCCCAAAGCATCAACCAATAACAATCGACTATTTTACAGATAAAATAACGAAAACAGTGACTTATGCAAAATTGCCCATTTCTAGGTAACTGCTTATATTACAAACTAATTTTAACATACATTTTCTTTGTATGGATTATAGCTACAAGTTTATAAAAGTTACCTAGAAATATTTTAAAATATGAAAATCCTGAATGGGTTGTAAATAGGTCAATTTTACACCTTTTTTCACCTCTTAATCGAATTAGCTCGAAAATGAAATCAAAATTTAAAAGATAGGTTGCCAGGCAACGAAACATACGCCCATATCGGCTAAATCGTCCGATCGGTCGACAAGAGTTGTCACATATTTATTTGTTTATAGGTAATTGGGGGGCCTTTACAAGACAGTTCTATACAGATCAGATTATAATTTTTGCCGTTTGAGGGTTCACAAGGTTCTACAAATTGAAACAAGGGTCTCAACTCTGGAAGTAATCTACAGAAATTGTTGAAATTTGACAGGCTTTTTCGTTTCACAAATTTAAATGATGCATATAAATTTCATACATATGATAAATTTCATCAATCGAGCATTAACAAGGTTGAACAAAGTGAAACAAGGGCCGTAACTCTAGAAGTAGTAAATGGAAATTCCTGAAATTCAATAGGATTCTTCTCTTTACTAATTTAAATGACACATGTAAATTTCATACAGATCGGAAAATAACTTTTGATGTTAGAGCATTCACAAAGTTCAATAAAGTGAAACATGGGCCATAACTCTAGAAATAATAAGCGGAATTTGTTGAAATTCAATAGGCTTCTTCGTTTCCCTAATTTAAATATTGCATATAAATTTCACAAAAATCGGATGTTAACTTTTGGCATTAGAGCGTTCACAAGGTTCAACAAAGTGAAACAAGGGCCATAACTCTAGACATTATAAACGGAAATTATTGAAATTAAATAGGCTTCTTCGTTTCACTAATTTAAATAATGCATATCAATTTCAGAAAGATAGGATGATAACTTTTGGGGTTAGAGAGTTCACAGGGTTAAACAAAGTGAAACAAGGGCCATAACTCTAGAAGTAATAAATTGAAATTGCTGAAATTCAATAGGCTTCTTCGTTTCCCTAATCTAAATATTGCATATAAATTTCACAAAGATTGGATGTTAACTTTTGGCATTAGAGCGTTCACAAGGTTCAACAAAGTGAAACAGGGGCCATAACTCTAGACTTTATGAACGGAAATTATTAAAATTAAATAGGCTTCTTCATCTCACTAATGTAAACAACATATATCAATTTTAAAACAATTGGATGTTAACTTTTGGTGTTAGAGCGTTCACAAGAAATTGTGGGCGATGGACGGCCGCAAAGCCCTGTATAGGGAAAGTTACGACAACTCATTTACAGGCGCCATTTTGGGTCCAAACTATGATGCCATAAAAACTATGACGTCATGGCGTCATATAGTTTACTTAACAAAACATTTTATTTTTTCTTGGTATAACGCTTTGCGGGTCCTAAACAAATTCCAAAAGAAACCAATGCAGTTTGGTTCAATGGTAAATATGTCAGACAAAATCATACTTAAAATCGGCCAAGGCAAAATGACACGATTAACAGAATTAAATTTGGCGTGTTCTTCAGGAATTATCGGAGAGCGATATAGCGTACTGAGTGTCTTTCAGTGGTGGGAGGATAAATAATTTCTTTTTAAATTCCTCAAACCCAGAGTGGTTATGCAAGCGAAATGTGCCGAAAAATTGAACTTGACAAATATCAATTTAAACCAGCGGCTGCCAAGCAGAATACGCCCACATTTTCGAGAGATGGATAGAGAACAAGCTAAAAAGAAAGTGATTTTTCCTACAATCAGGGGGCATAATTCAGGAAGTTATGGTCCGATATGCGCGAATGTCGAAAGGAACTGATATCTTTGTGTTATAAACTTACATTTCAAGTTTCAACAAAATTGGATAACCAGCGGCTGCCAGGCAGGTTACGCCTACATTTTCGAGAGATGGATAGAGAACAAGCTAACAAGAAAGTGATTTTTCCTACAATCAAGGGCCATAATTCAGGAAACAAGCCAACAGTGAGGCTGATGTCCCCCGCCGAAATTGCAAAATAAATAGATGACACATATTAATTAATCGCACATTTATTTTTTTCACTAAGTTTCATCACTCTCTATCAGATAGAATCAAGATTATCTTGTCCCAAACCATCGACAAATGAAATCGATTAGCTCTGCTTAGCTTCAGCTCGAAATGTTAATTATTGAACTCAGTCAAGACATTCACCTAATGAACATCTACATACACATCAAGTTTAAACATTCACCTAATAGACACCTATGCCAAGTTTGAACATTCTACCTCAATTAGAAGGAGAGTTATTGTGTTCCAAAGTTTCTACCAATCAAATTGCTTATCACTCTGCTTACCCTCAGCAAAAAATGTTCATTATCGAACTTAGTTAAGGTATTCATATAATAAATCTATACACCAAGTTTCATCAATCTCACTTAATTAGAACTAAAGTTATCGTGTCCCAAAGCATCAACCAATCAAATTGCTTATCTCTGCTTACCCTAAGCGGAAAATGCTCATCTTCGAACTACATCAAGGCATTGACCTAATCAACACATACATCAAGTTTGAACATTCTAGCTCAATTAGGAAGAGAGTTATCGTGCCCCAAAGTATCAACCAATCAAATTGCTTATCTCTGCTTACCCTAAGTGGAAAATGCTCATCTTCGAACTCCATCAAGGCATTGACCTAATAAACACATACACTAAGTTTGAACATTCTAGCTCAATTAAAAGTTATCGTGTCCCAAAGCATCAACCAATCAAATTGCTTATCTCTGCTTACCCTAAGCGGAAAATGCTCATCTTCGAACTCCATCAAGGCATTGACCTAATCAACACATACACCAAGTTTGAACATTCTAGCCCAATTAGGAAGAGAGTTATCGTGTCCCAAAGCATCAACCAATCAAATTGCTTATCTCTGCTTACCCTAAGCGGAAAATGCTCATCTTCGAACTCCATCAAGGCATTGACCTAATAAACACATACACCAAGTTTGAACATTCTAGCTCAATTAGGAAGAGAGTTATTGTGTCCCAAAAAGTGTGACGGACGGACGGACGGACGGACGGACAGACGGACAGACAGACAGACAGACCCATTTTAATAGTCCCCTGCTTTCTTCGAAAGGCGGGGGACAATTACAATTCGATATGCGCAAATATCGAAAGGAACTGAACGAACGGCAGCCATTTTGTCTGTCAATACGTTTTTTTAAATCGGATAAAAATTATGACCTATATGGTCCACAAGCTAAAAACGTGATTTTTCGTACAATCAGGGGCCATAATTCAGGAAGTTACGGTCCGATATGCGCGAATATCGAAAGGAACCGAGATCTTTGGGTTATAAACTTACATTTCAAGTTTCACCAAAATCGGATAAAAATTGTGACGAACGGCGGCCATTTTGTCTGTCAATTTTGGGCCATAATTCAGGAAGTTACTGTCCGATATGCGCGAATATCGAAAGGAACTGAGATCTTTGGGTTATAAACTTACAATTCAAGTTTCAAGAAAATCGGATCAAAATTGTGACCTCTATAGGGTCCACAAGCTAAAAACGTGATTTTTCGTACAAACAGGGGCCATAATCCATGAAGTTTCGATCCGATACATGCCAATATCGAAAGCAGCCGAGATCTTTTGGGGATAAACCTATATTTCAAGTTTCGTCGAAATCGGATAAGAATTGTGACCTGTAGAGAGTCCACAAACAATTGTGGACGGATGGACGCCCAGACGTCCGGACGGACAGGGGCGATGGCATAATACGTCCACATGAAAATGTGGGCGTATAAAAATTGTGACCTCTAGAGGGTCCACAACCTTGATATACCATATTTTTACGCTATTTCAGAACTCAGCTGTCCTT